TCAGGTGAATGCCCTAACCAGTAGATGATTGGTTGTACTGTGGAATCTTGTGGCTTTTCACAAGTTTTTAAAGGTCTTATCTTGTTTTCATTCTACACAGATTTCGTGAATTACTTCTCTGCTCCTCCCCTCGCCAGCCAGGAGTGAGAGACATGCACACAAGCTGTGTATTTTCCCCTCACTGCCTGACAGCCAGGGGAACAGGAAGAAAAGCCAGCCGAGTCTCGGTACGCATGGCTGCTATTCCCCCATAATGGCGCCCTTTTTCTGCATGTCACATCCCCACTTTCCTTTCCCATCCAAGAAATGATTTGATCTGATTATATTTAGTTTACAGGAGAAGCGCCTGATCACAGCATAAGGTATTGTTTCTGACAGGTGAATAATATTACATGCATAGGCTTGGTCTACTCTACACTACAGCAGGAGGTTGTATTAAGATACACAACTCCAATTACGTTAATTATGTAGCTGGAGTAGACATATCTTAAATCTCATTTCTTCATGGTCCACACAGTGGGAGGCTGATGGGAGCCAATGCTCCCCATGACTGCGAGGAATACAGGTGCCAGCCGGAGCTGCCCTCAGTGTTTGATTTAGCGGGTCTATATTAGACCCGCTAAATCAAATGCCAGAAGATCAACCTCTGGAGTGTTTGATCTTCTGATGTATAATATGGAGCTATATCTTTATCTCATAGAGCTGGAAGGGACAGTGAGAGATCATCGAGTCCAGTCCTCTGCCCTCATGGCAGGACCAAGTATCATCCCTGACAGATTTGCCCCCTCCCTCCCACTCCCTAAATGGCCCTCTCAAAGATTGAACTCACAATCTTGGGTTTAGCAGACCAATGCTCAAGCCACTGAGCGGTCCCTCCCCCCCAAGCATAGACATGGCCATAAATAAATGCACTTAGAGAAGTGTGCGTGAGAGAAACATGAAAGGGTAGCTAAGTGTAGCATACCATAATCCTCTACAAATGTTTATTCTACATTGTTTTCTGTCCTAGTTTATTCAGCAACGCAGAAATTCACACAATTGTTTCAAAACTACATTGGAAAAGGTCACATGAAGTTTACTCAACCCGTTAGTCATATATTAATACACTTCCTTAGTGCACAATACAGGAAAATGAATCAACATGATTTTATCTCATCCCGATGTCCGTCAGTATGGTGGTTTTGAGTGCAATGCACAATTTTGCAATGAGTCCCTCCTGCTACTTCGAATAGAAGAGAATGGAACAAAAAGCTCCAGTTCAAGACACAAACCAAGGAGAAAAAAAGTGTGTAATTAATCTGCTGTGAATTGTGTGACTTAGAAGCTTAACAAAACGTCAGACTTTCTCATTCCCAGTAGGCGGATACGGGAATTTGTTGAAAAGATTCCTACCAAGCGCTGACATCCAAAGCCAGAAACTGCTTAACAGAGGAAGGCAATAACACATGTCAGGCTCTGCCTTGCACTGCATTTGGATTGTTCATTAGCGAGACAGAAATGAACAGCCAGTCACTAGCAATAATGGGTTAGAAGAGCATTGAGAGCGGCCTGGTGAAATAGAACAGAATGTAATAATCCAATGGAATGCTGAAACAGCAGGCAGGAAGTCACCTGCCCCTTTGAAGAGCTGCTGCTGAAATGCACACGCTGCCTTGTATTCCCAGGTGAGCGTCTCTGCGCTTGATGCTGTTTCACTCGCTGGATTAACGTGTGACAGGATGTTATTGCTTCTTTCCAGTCATCTTATAGCTAGAACGTTTGTCAAAGAACAGCTCCCTGTGATGCAGCATACACAGCCTTCCCGGCGGTCTGACAAGGATAGGCAGGGATGTAAGGAAACAGGAAATCCTACCACTGAGCCCTGTTAAAATGCAGGTACATAAAAATGTGAAGCATCATTTGGGAAGGAGGGGAGTCATGCACACAGCAGGGCTTTGGAGTATAGTTGATGATTCTGTGGGGGCTCTAGACAAATTGGAGGATTTGAGCCAAAAGAAAGCTGAGTCAACAGACATGTGCGGAGTCCTGCCCTTAGGACAGAAGAATCTCAGACACTGCTACAGGCTGGGAACTGATTGGTTAAGCGGCTGTTCTGTAGAACAAGATCTGGGACAAGAATGGAACAAAAAGCTCCAGTTCAAGACACAAACCAAGAAATCGTAAAAAAAAAAAAAAAAAAAAAAAAGGGGTGTAATTAATCTGCTGTGTATTGTGTGACTTAAAAGCTTAACAAACGTCAGACTTTCTCATTCCCAGTAGGCGGATATGGAATTTGTTGAAAAGATTCCTACCAAGTGCTGACATCCAAATGGATGAGAAGCTGGATATGGGTCATCAGTGCTCCCTTGTAGCCAAGAAGGCTAATGGCGTATTGGGGTGCATCAGGAGGAGCATTGCCAGCAAATCGAGGAGATGATCGTTTCCTGTTGATGGTTACATTTTGAGACCTATCAGCCAGTTTTAAGTCCATTTCATATGTGCCATGTTAACTTTATTTATAGGGTTGCATACTCAAAATGGCACGTGGCATTGAAGTAAAATTCTTTACAGAACTCTAAGTTATATTATGTCAACTCTATTACCTCTGACAATCAGACTTGTCATGGTATTCGGTTAAGATCCATTTTACATAAACCTATGTTGATTCCTGTTAATTTCAGGCATCACCCTTCTCTAGTTCATTATTAATCAAATCCCATGTCAGTTGCTCCGTTATCTTGCCCAGGATGTATAGCAGGCCGGCCTATAATTAACTTGGTCATCCTGTTTACCCTTTTCAAAAATTGGCACAAAACTAGCTTTCTCCCAGCCTTCTAGAACATCCCCCGAGTCTTATTGAAAACCAGAATTAACGAACCAGTGAGCTCCTCGGCCAGCTCTTTTAGAACTCTTGGATGCATTACCTGGACTTGTTGAACTTTAAAAATGTCTAACTTCAGTAACTTGTTTAACATCCTCCAGGAAACTCATAGAATGGAAATTACTACCATATGAGAAGACTGCTTTGTCTGTGTTCTCCCCAAGTACAGAACAGAAATATTCATAGTTGCTCTCGTGTTACTCTTTGGCATACATGATGTCTAGGCTAGCTACTCACCTAGCCTGAAGCTGGAGGTGGCTGCTCTGCGCTCAAACAGTGCATGCAGAGATGATGTGCTCACCAGATGGGAACCTAAATATGATCCAGACCACGACCACCCAAAACAGCAACTGCAAATATCCCTTCAGGGAATGCTTTCCCCCTTGTGCCACCTCCATCCCTGAGCCAGGGAAAGCCTTGCCTTTCGCTGTATATAGCGGGGCCTGGTGTTTGTGTTCAGGCCAGTGGCAGGTGTTTTGCAGAAAAAGACCTGGGGATTACAGTGGATGAGAAGCTGGATACGAGGCAAGTGTGCCCTTGTAGCCAAGAAGGCTAATGGCATATTAAGGTGCATTAGGAGGAGCATTGCCAGCAGAGAAGCGATTCCCCTTTATTCGACACTGGTGAGGCCACATCTGGACTACTGTGTCCAGTTGTGGGCCCCTCATGACAGAATGTATGTGGACGCATTGGAGAAAGTCCAGTGAAGGGCAAAATGATGAGGGGGCTGAAGCACATGACACATGAGGAGAGGCTGAGGGATTTGGGCTTATTTAGTCTGCAGAAGAGAAGAGTTAGGGGGAATTTGATAGCAGCCTTCAACTTCCTGAAGGGAGTTTCCAAAGAGGCTGGAGAGAGGCTGTTCTCAGTGGTGACAGATGACAGAATGAGGAGCAATGGTCTCAAGTTACAGTGAGGGAGGTCTAGGTTGGATATTGGGGAAAAACTATTTCCCCTGGAGGGTGGTGAAGCCCTGGGATGGGCTCCCTAGGGAGGTGGCAGAGTCTCCATCCCTAGAGGTGTTTAAGTCCTGGCGTGACAAAGCCCTGGCTGGGATGATTGAGTTGGGGTTGGTCCTGCTTTGGGCAGGGGGCTGGACTTGATGACTCCTGAGGTCTCTGCCAGCCCTGGGGTGCTATGAGTCTATGATTCTAATGGCAGGGCACCCAACCACAACCCCCACTTCCTTTCTCTGCTGGTGTCCCATAGCCCTGCATTGGCCTCAAATGCCCTGATTAACCGCTTGCTCCTTGGGGACCAGATTCTCATCTCGGAGCCAATGCTTGTGGAGGAGGCGCAGTACCTGGCCGAAGAGGGTTCCCTGTTGATTGGCACTCTAAATAGCCAACAAAACCCCTGCAGAACTGGCTTCTACACCAGCTGATCTGGAACTTTCTTGGTACGGGAGGTGGAGCAGGGCAGGGCAGAGCTCCGTCAGCTTTCGGCACAACTGCTCTAACTTAGCTCAGCCCCTGGGCTGCTCTAACTCTCAGGCCAGGGCTGGCACAGGCCAACCCAGAGCATCAAGGTACCACAACCAGCTTGGACCTCCCCTCCCCCCCAGCACACACATTCTCCTTCTCCGAGTGGCGCTCAGCCAGCAGGGAATCGGTCCCCGAGCTGCACAGTTGTGCGCCTGTGGCTCGCGTCCACCCAGACGTGCGTGCACACGGAGAGCTGTCGGAGTTTGTTAATATATCTGGAGCAGGTTCTTGGGCAGCCAATAAATGGCTGATGCCTCATCTGTCCCTGCTGGTGCCTCTGAGATCCTAATGCTTGGGGAGAGCTATTGAAAATCCTGGCTTAGCAGCTTTCCCCCTGCCCATCCTCCAACCCAACCCCCCAGGGATCGTGGCCACCTCTCGCAAGCCGATCGGAAAATCCCCGGAGGACCCAGCCGTGTGTGGAGCCGTTTGGCGTGTGCATCACTGTCCCCCGGGGCAGGTGACAGGTGCTTTTCCTGCAGCGGTGCTCAGTGAGGTACACAGCAGAGGAGCAGCCTGGCCCAGCAGAGGGTGGATGCAGGGGCCTGTCAGGGACAGATCGAAGGGCATGTAGCTCAGGGGGCGGGAGGCAGCCACTTCTCTGGTGCTGTGGGGTGGCTGGACTGGAAGGGGCCTGCCAAGTGGGGTGGCTGGACTGGAAGAAGCCTGCCAAGGCCCGTGCATTGTGCTCTCGAGCAGCACTAGAACAACGGGCAAGTCGTTACTTGCTAACACGTGAGACTAGAAAAACGGGGTTCCTCTCCATGAGCGCCTTGGCGGCCAACAGGAGAGCTGGTGTAGAAGCGCAGTAGCCACAATTTGCTGGGTTACGGGGCCAGGGAAAGCCAACGCTGGATGCGTAAGGAAGTGACAGTATCCCCTAGCAGAGGGACGGCCACTGCCTGTTGGGGGCAATGGCCCTATGACAGAACAGGGCATGTGAAGAATGCCCACCCCGTCACCGTGCAAGGGGACCTATCAGACGGATGAACAGCTTGCAAACTGCAGTGGTTTGATTTTTCTGAGCGTTGGTTAAGATCTGGGCCAGGAGGTTTGCTGGGGTGTCTGCTGGCTGAGCATGGACCTTTCCTACGTCTTCAGGCTGGGAGTCCTTGGCATTCTCAGAGTGAGGAGAGGGAGTTCTGGGGCAGATTGCCTGGCGTGCTTCTTGGCTGCCCACGTGTGGTTTTCCTTGTCCCACCCCAGGGAGGCTGGGATCTGGCTTGAAGATCCAGCAGCTCAGGAATTAGCAGAGGCCGGATTAGAGCAGGCAGGTCTCTGGAAATCGCAACAAAATCTTCTGCCCCCCCAGGGACATCATCAAGGAGACTGCGGCAGGCCCTCTGTGGTGGTGTCCAGAGAGGAGGAGCAGGCGAGCCTTCTTGGGCCTGCAGGCTTGGAGGAGGACCTCCTTGACCTGATCTGTGGGTGGCACCAGCCTGGCGTGGCCCCCTTTTGCCATGGAATCACTCTCTTGTTCATCCGCACCCACTGGTTCCTCTAGGGTCTCAGGCTGCCTGTCCTCCTGGGCCAAACTCTCCTGTTCTCCATGATTGACTGGCCTTTTCAGGATCCCGGGGTGCTCCTGTTCCCGGGCGGTGCTCCGCCCAGGTCTCTGGTCTGCTGGGCCTTGTAGTGCCCCCTGCTGCTTTTCTGCACGCCTGTGCAATATGGTATGGGCCTCTCCACCCTGGTCATCACCCGGGGGACCTCTGTTATTGTCTCCTCCACCTTCATCCTCCCCTCCCCCAGGTTGGTCCATCTCCTCTAGCAAGTCCCCGTCGTCCTCTCTTCGGTGAACCATGGCCACCACCTCAATGTCCGTGCAGCCCCCATCCATGCTGATGTCATCGGGGAAGAGGCGAGAGAAGTCCTCCATTCTCACCCGCTCCAGCTCACCGGGGTCCCAGTCGGTGATGGAGAAGCTGAAGATCTCTTCTGCAGAGCTGGGGAGAGACCCAAGAGCTAAGATCAGGCAAAGCTGAATATATAGGGGCCTAGGTGCCCTGGCGCCTTTCCAGTGCACAGGACTCCTGCATTCTGTACCTGGCTCTGGAAGGGGAATGAGGAGCAGTGGTTAGAGCAGAGGCACTAGGAGAATCCGAGTTTCTGGATTCTATCCCAAGCTCTGGCTGGGAATGTTACCTTGCAATATTCCCTAATTAACAGCCCCTAAGAGGAGATATTGAAAGCAAGAGAACACCAAAAAGACAGGAAGAAAGACACCCCCAGTGCTTCTGTATTAAGGGTTTAACACCCATGCCAGTGCCCCTGACTCAGCTAACGGATGTCTCAGGCAATAGGGCTGAGAGCTGTACTGTAACCCTCTGTACCTGTCCTCACAATGCCCCATAGCACTTCCCATGGGGAGAGCAAATTGGGATTCCCAGTGGCTATTAGCACCCCCCAAAGTAATGAAAACCACAGGTTAGAACAGAGAGTAGATGATGGAGCTGGCTGATGGAGTTTCTGGATGAGGATCATAGAACTGGCAGGGACCTTGAGAGATCATCAAGTCCAGTCCCCTGCCCTCACAGCTAGACCAAGCACCATCTGTCTAACCTGCTCTTACATATCTCCAGTAATGGAGATTCCACAACCTCCCTAGGCAATTTATTCCAGTGTTTAACCACCATGGCAGTTAGGAAGTTTTTCCTAATGTTCAACCTAAACCTCCCTTGCTGACATTTAAGCCCCTTGCTTCTTGTCCTATCCTCAGAGGCCAAGGAGAACAATCCTCCCCCCTCCCCGTGACACCCTTGTAGATACCTGAAAACTTCTATCACGTCCCCTCTGTCTTCTCTTTTCTAAACTAAACAAGCCCAGTTCTTTCAGACTTCCCTCATAGCTCATGTTCTCTAGACCTTTCATCATTTTTGTTGCTCTTCTCTGGACCATCTCCAATTTCTCCACATCTCTCTTGAAATGTGGTGCCCAGAACTAGACACAATACTCCCTACACAATTTATTCCAGTGTTTAACCGTCCTGACAGGCTACGTCTAGACTGGCATGAATTTCCGAAAATGCTTTTAACGGAAAAGTTTTCCGTTAAAAGCATTTTCGGAAAAGCGCGTCTAGATTGGCAGAATGCTTTTTCGCAAAAGCACTTTTTGCGGAAAAGTGTCCTTGGCCAATCTAGACGCGCTTTTCTGCAAAAAAGCCCCGATTGCTGTTTTCGCGATCGGGGCTTTTTTGCGGAAAACACTACTGTGCTGTTTACACTGGCCCTTTTGGGCAAAAGTCTTTCGGAAAAAGACTTTTGCCCAAACGGGAGCAGCATAGTATTTCTGGAAAAGCACTGATGATCTTACATGAGATCGTCAGTGCTTTTCCGGAAATTCAAGCGGCCAGTATAGACAGCTGGCAAGTTTTTCCGCAAAATCAGATGATTTTATGGAAACTTGTGTGTCTAGATACAGCCAAAGTTTTTCCGAATGTCCCATCTAAACCTCCCTTGCTGCAGTTTAAGCCCCTTGCTTCTTGTACTGTCATCAGAGGCCAAGGAGAACAATTTCCCTCCTTTCACCCTGAGACACCCTGTTAGCAGTTTTCAGGTATCTATCATGTCCCCTCTTAGTCGTTTCTTTTCCAAAGTGAACAAGCCCAATTCCTTCAGCCTTGCCTCATAGCTCATGTTCTCTAGACCTTTCATCATTTTTGTTGCTCTTCTCTGGACCTTCTCCAACTTCTCCACATCTTTCTTGAAATGTGGTGCCCAGAAGTGGACACCATATTCCAATGAGGCCAGATCAGCACAGAGTAGAGCAAAAGAACGACTTCTCGTGTCTTGCTCACAACACTCCTGTTAATGCAGCCCAGAATCATGTTTGCTTTTTTTGCAACAGGGTCATACTGTTGATTCATATTTAACTGTGGTCCACTATGACCCCCTAAATCCCTTTCTGCAGGTCTCCTTACTAGACAGTCACTTCCCATTCTGTATGTGTGAAACAGATTGTTCCTTCCTAAGTGGAGCACTTTGCACTCGTTGTTATTAAACTTCATCCTATTTACCTCAGTCGATTTCTCTAGCTTGGCCAGATAATTCTGACCCTATCCTCCAAAGCAGTTGCAACCCCTCCCACTTGGTATCATCTGCAAAATTAATAAGCATACTCTCTAGGGCAAGCCATCATCTACATCATTGATGAAGATACTGAACAGAACCAGTCCTAAACCAGACTCCTCGGAACCCCACTTGTTATGCCTTACAATTGGATGAGAGGTTAGTTTAGAGATTAGATAGATACAGAGGAACTAGAAGTTGGATGAGAGGCGGGATCAGATTAGATTGGCGAGGCGAGAGGAGCGGATGGTAAAAGAGAGAGGTGGGTGAGAGATTGGGATGAAGAGGTGGATGGGTGTGATGGATGACTCGCTTGGGGGAGGGGTAGAGAGCGGGACAAATGGACGGATTAAAATGGAGATGGTGACAGAGAAATAATGGCTATTGCCGAGATTGTGGTGATCGAGGGGATGGAGATTGAGCTATACTGATCGATAAGTGGACGGACTAGGGGTTGTGAGAGATGGAGGGCATGGGAGCTTTCTCCTCCAAACAAAGGCTGGTCTGGCCGAGTCCCCAAGCCCCTATATCCCATCCCCACCCAGCCTAACTGTGACTCTACCTCCTCCTCTTTCTCCCAAAGCAGCAGATCAGGCCTCCCCATCTGAGCAGCCGCATCCCCTTTGACATCCTGGTATGGGTGAGAACCGCTGGTGAATCCAGCCTCAATGCCCCTAGGTACGCTGGGCCAGGGCTCTGTGACATGCCAGCCGAAGTCAGCGCATAGCGGTGTGAGGTCACGACAACCTCAGAGCCGCCACTAGCCAATCCTCACCTTCCCCCGCCAGTGCATTTGCATACTGCTCCTCTATTAACCAAGCTGACACAGTAGGAAAGGGGGTGGGGCAGAGGCAGCCACAGCGTGAGGGTCAGAGGGGCGGAACTCCGACATACCCAGGGGACGTTATTCCCAGCCTGCTTGAAAATGAGGCCTCCTGAGGAGTGAGGAAGCCAAGAAGTGGGGGAGACTCAGAGGCCCAGTGCTGGGGGAAGCGGAAGGAAGGGGGCAGATGAAGCGGGGCGGAGGCGAGATGGCGACGTTATGGACTGAGTGAGATTGCAGTGCGTGGAGAGAAGAATGGTTGAGTATTTTCAGCCCGGCAACCCAGCCCCACCCACAGGAAGCAGAAAGGCAGGGCCGGGAGTATAAAAGCAGGGCCTGAGCCCTCAATTGGAGCCCAGCGGCTGAGCTCTCAGGGAGGAAGGTGCAGCTGCCCCACCCTAGGAGGGAACACTGGATTGGGCAGCTGCCGGGCCCAGAAGACTGGATGGCCAGTTCCCCTGCCGGGCCCAGGAAATTGGGCTGCGCCACCTGGACCGCTGCTTGAGCTGGCCCCGGAGCCTATGGACGTGCTGCCAGTGCCATCACCCCCGGCGGACCCTGAGGGGTGGAGGCTGAGCCAGGGAGGCCCATGGGGAACTGGGCAGCGGCCCAGGGATAGCTGATGAGATGGAGGTCAACTGGGCAGCATGTTGCAGCCAGGATCCTCACCGACCCAGTGGCAGCCCTGGGCTGGGGCGGAGTGGAGCGGGTGGACCTGCGCCCCCCCTGCCACACCTCCTTGGGGGCGGCAGGTTCCCCTTCTCAGGGTTAAAACCCCTGCGCTTGTCAGCTCCCTGCCAGCAAGGAGACCCTGCCCCCGCTCAGCCTGCGGACAGGCCTGCACTTCAAACTGCTTCACTGCTTGTATTGCTGCTTGTGGCCCCGCCCTGACCAAGGGCCTGGCCTTTAGAAACTGCTGCTCAGCCTGCAGCCCGGCAGAGCCTCTGAACTGTTTATCGCTTGCCCTGAGCTAGGGCCTGGACCTTAGGACTACTGAGCTGCAGGCCGGCGGCCCCGCCCTACAGGCTGGCAGGCCAGCCCTGGCGCAGGGTTTCTGGGCCCCTTAACTGGTCGATCCATGGCGTAGCAGGGCAGCTTGGCCTCCCTCTAGCCAGAGACCAGTACAGATCTGTATAGGGAGCTGTGATGGTACCATATACAATTCTGTCTCCCCGCTCCATCCCATTGACAGCTCAGACTTTTGAGGGTCGAGCTCACCTGTGATCCAGGTGTGGAGGGAGACATTGCTCCTGCAAGCCTCAAGCAGGTGTGGAATTTGACCCCCACCCTGCACCACCATGTGCAGCCCCATTGGCCTGACCGGAGCTGCCTCCCTCCCCAAAAAGAGAAGCCAAACTAATTCTCTGCTTCGTTTTGGTCATAACTGTGATTGGTGGAGACTCTCTCCCCAGCCACATCACCTGCATGTTCCAAAATGGTGTATCGCTCCAAAAGTACAAAGCCTGACTCTTCTGTGCTAAATCCCCGGAAGCCTGCAGGGAAGCATAGCCGGAATCCTCTGCTCTGTTCTACGCTGTGGACAGGCCCTCTCCTCTCAAAATAATAATACAAATAAGAGATCAGGCCTATGAGGTCACAAAAAAGGTAACTGTTTGATCTTTCACTGCCGAAGTTTTAAAATGCGTGGATCTCGTTCTCTGGTTGCAGGAACCGCTCCACTGAGACCAATGGAGTAAGCAGGTGTAAGGGTGAACAGTCAATCCACTGCCTAACGATGTAACGAACCTGCTGAGTAGCCAGGCAATGAAAGTCTGGCAACGTGGCTGGTTAGCTCATGGAAACAATATCTTGAACACCAGAGAGTCTCGTGTCAAAGACTTAGCTATTTACTTCAATATTGGTGTGTCTCTAACTCCGCCACGGTTCTAGGAGCAGAAAGGGAGTGCTCATTGACTGCCCTATTTAACGACATAACTTGTAATTACCCAGGATGCTGCAGGAGCTCACCACAATGCATTACAAGCAGAGTGACGGAATACCTGTGTGGCTAACTGGAGAGGTTTTTAAAGGCTAATGTGGATTTGTTAGTTAATATTGGTCCTGCTCAATCAGTCTCCGCAGCAGTTGAAACAAAAAACAGGACTGTGTAGCACTTTAAAGACTAACAAGATGGTTTATTAGGTGATGAGCTTTCGTGGGCCAGACCCACTTCCTCAGATCAAATAGTGGAAGAAAATAGTCACAACCATATATACCAAAGGATACAATTAAAAAAATGAACACATATGAAAAGGACAAATCACATTTCAGAACAGGAGGGCATTTCATCATAGGATGGTCCAGTTGTGTGGCTCTGAGATCCACAGGTTAAAGGGCCCTGTGCCAAGGTGCAATAATTATACTATCCGTGAAGGAGATGATATTAATTTGGGAACCATCCCAGTTTTGCCCAATTATCACGGTAGCACTCCCCAACTGCTATTCTAAGTGCCTCCTTTCCTCTCCATCTTTACTTGGCTTATTTTCACAACCCCCCTGTGCGGTACGGCAGTGTTGTTCTCCCTGATGTACAGATGGGGCTCTGAGGCATCAAAGCCTTGAGTAAGCAAGACAAGGTCACACAGGAGACTCCATAAGCTCCGCCCACCATTTCACATGCTCCTGTTTAGGTTATGAATTTAAATGCACAAAGGTCAGGAAATGCTGCAGTGCCATGTTTGAGAGTAAAGCTGCATGTGGCACGTCCCTTCTATTTTTTCTCTTTTTCGTCACACTTTAGATATCGATTACGTTGAGATTTTCAAAGGTGCCGAAAGGGATTTGGACGCTCAGTTCAAACAATGACAATGGAGTGTCCAAATCCTCGAGGCAGGCGTGCCAAATCTTCTTCCCTTTTTTTGTCACGGATGACCATGATGGACCAGCATGCATCTCTCTGTCACTCTGGCCAATCATATCCGTACGTAGCTTTTTGTGTGGCAACCTCTGGCAGAGTCTGCCCTGGATAGACTCATCACAGAATGTTACCGTGAGAGGCTGGAGGTCCATCTATGGGTTCTCATGACAGGGACAATGACAGGTGAGCAAAAGGACCTCATATGGGATGGATCTGGCCTGCCATGTTGGTTGATCCGGCCTGCAGAGTTGATCCTGCTACTCCCCTGCCTCCAGGCCAATCAGGGCCTAGGGACAGGGAAGCCCGTGGCAGGGAGTAAGAAACTTCACACTTCTCCCAGGCCAATCAAGGCTTGGGGGGCAGGAGGGAGTGTGCAAAGTCTCCTCCCACCTTGCCCCTGCCCTGCAAGGAATGTGCGGTGCTTAGAAGCCCCTCCCAGCACCAGGGGCACAGGTGCCTAGAGGGAATCACCAGCTGTTTAGAACAGCTGGCAGTTCTCTCTGGGGGAGGGCAGGCGCAAAGACTTCACCCTCTCCAGGCCAATCAGGGTCTGCGGGCAGGGAAGCACAGAAGTGTTCTGGCCCCGCCCCTCCTGCCTGAGGCCCCGCCCCTTCCGGGGTGGCCCCAGGGACACTTCAAAAATTTCTGAAGTGGCCCCTGGCCAAAAATTATTGCCCACCCCAATCACTGATATAAAGCTTGGTCCCAACAGACTATCTGCCAATTGGAGCAGAGGACAATCATGACCGCTAAAGAGATTAGCTCAGTCCATCCGCTTGTACTCCATGAGGGCGCAATGTGATAACTGGACTAGCAGGTCTCTGTAGAAGTCAGCGATGATGTCTAACCAGCCAGCAGGTGGGTGAGCTGGATCTTGTTGTGTAAAGAGTAACAAAAGGTGGCCGACTCAGCCCTGCTTGGGAGGGAAACGTTGGGGCCAAGACTATTGTTTTTTGTTCTGTGTTCATACAGCTCCTAGCATGATGGGATTCTGGCCCACCACTAAAGCTTCTAGGCTCTTCAGTAGTACAATAGTAATAATAATCTATACTGGTTGAACCTCTCTAGTCTAGCACACGCTGGTGTGTCAACACCCATGGTCCGGCATGATGTTAGTTAGCCGGGTGTTTACTTATCATGGGAGTGGCCAAGTTTCCCACGGTCCCATAAAGTTTGTTGACAGCCACCAGGCCTGGCTCTCAGTGTTCTGTGCTGTTATTTATGTAAGCGGGGGAATAGTCCCGCTATTGCGGGGAACTTTCCTGGCTTCTATACTACCCCGGTGAAATGGACCAGCGAAAGGATTGGAGTCCCCACTCCCACTTCTTTTATCCAAAGGCCTCCCAGACCCTGAGGGCTCCCCTTCCACTCTCCTGAGTAGCAGAGTCCTTGAAATCCCGATAAAGCTGAGCCTAGGTTTTCTGGGGCTTCATCCCCGACCTTGTAGTCACTTGGGGCAGGGGCTAGGGTGTCCCCACTCCGGGGTGCTCGCTTCACACTGGATGTTTTCTTGACCCACTGATCATTACATACAGCTCAAAGCGAATACAATTTATTAAACAGAAATAGTAGTCACTTAGGGCAGGGGCTAGGGCATCCCCACTCTGGGGTGCTGTCTTCACACTTGATGCTTTCTTGACCCAGTGGTCATTACATACAGTTCAAAGCAAATACAATTTATTAAAACAGCAACTGATTAAAAAGAATAAGGAAAAAATGAAAGGTTAAAAGAGAACACATAGCCCTGCTCTATAGCATGGGGACATCACAAACAGCAGTTTGCAGAGTGTAAGGACAGTTCACAGTCTGTTCCTTATAGGGCTCTCTCTCAGGCCTTGGCTGTGCTGCCCGGGAGGCTGCAGGATGGACACACTTGCTCTGGCAGTGAACACATGACTTCAGGCTCTAGGTGGCAGGATCCCTCTCCCAGTTGGAGTTACAATCCCTCTCCAAGTCTGGCCTGCAGGGCCTCTTGGCTGGTGGTGTCTCTCTGCCCAGAGCCT